ATAAACCTGTGGTACAGTTTGACTCAACAGGGACCCCTGTGGTCACAAATGGCCATTACAATATACTGTATCAGTACCATTAGTACTAAAAAGCCACAGTGTCAGACAACAGACTGTGACTCAGTTCAGGGGCCTCATCCTTCAGAGGCCACATATGAAGATCCATTGATTACATGGTTGCCCCATTTTGAAGTCTCCATTGCCTCCATCCATTCCCAAGCAACAAAGGATCCAACAGGTGGATCCTCCTCTTGCCAACCTTTCCCAGGATCCAAGCTACAGTAAGTGCAGGGGCTCAAAGCAGCTAATGATGCAACAGTATGTGTGTGACAAGCTAGTGATGCAAATAGGAAATCTTCCATAGACCAGACTATCTCATTTAGGTTCCACCTTTGCAGTCTATCCATTCCACAAAGGACTTTCCCTTCCCCCCCTGTATGGTATCCAAAGAGGACACAGCTAACATGCAGTTTAAGTTAGCTAACACTAGACACATTTCTGCTGTATCAGTGAAATCTATAGTATGTTGTATCTACAGTATAATCAGAGTATATTTACCAAGTGCATGCAGCAGTTTTTTTCTTTTGTTCATTTGACGCATGTCAGTCTGTCCCCCTGGGAATATTTACAATGGCCCCACACTTGTGAGCATCACAATCATTCATTAGTGTCGTTATAAATAAGAATTCTGCAGTGTTAAATGCTTTACTATAAGATTGATTCAACAGCTCTAATTCTGCAGCCTGGAATTTACACTTAGTTTATTTGGCAAGCTCAGTCCCTCAGAGAGAAGTGTAACTTACAAATGAAACACACAGCAGTCGTGACAACACTATATTACTATATACAACAATAAGTTCTGGCTCACACCCAGAATTAGACATGTTCTGAGATAATGTTAACTGTTTATGAATCAGTGGTATGAGATTTTATTTACTTTATGCTTACACACACACACTCAATACACGTAACACTTATCATGCTTCATTAGTAAAATTATGCATTGATTTCATCTTTATAATTTCTAAAATGATCTGTGCATTAAAGACACTCCGGCTGAATTGGATAACATATGTTTTCTAACAATTAAAATCTGAAACTCTGAAATCTGGACTGACTTTTCCCTTCAGACTCTACTGTAATACACCGCCCATTCCTTTTTCTCCACCTCAGGGGTGTGTCCCTTCACATGCCCATTTATTCCTCCATTAGCTTCTCCATTTAGTTTACCATTGTTTTCACCATCTATATGGTCCTTTCTCAGAGCCAGAGCTGGCTTACAGGTGTGCCAGTTCCTCAGAACTTTATTCATATCATCCTGGGCCCTGATACCCAGAAGCCTGTCTTCATCACTTCTCTTTTTGTCCTCGTCATCATCGTCCCTGTCGTTCGTGTATGAGCGTTGGCTGTGGAGGCTGCGCATCTCACCGCTGATGCTTTCAAAGTACTGATGGATGCAGACCTTGGCAAAGCTCTTGGCATGCTCCTTACAGGTCTCGTCGAACATCTTGCGCTCAATGTCAATGTAGTGTGACCAGTACTTGGTCTTGAGGAAGGCGGCCTGGGTAAAGCACGGTCGAATGGCCCGGATCAGGAAGGCCGTGAAGGTCATCATGAGCAGAAACATCCATCCACATACCTGTGAGATGTAGATAGGTGTTAGTCCTTTATATATGTATAGAAAACCTGCATAAACTGGACTTTGTGTTATTCTTGTAGATAGTTAAAGTCAAATAGTCAAACACGTGATGTTAAAAGCATTTCACAGCTTCATAGCTCATTTACAGAATGTATATATCAATGGACATTTATAGACATGTTACTTTATGCCTGTACAATTGCCTTTTGGCTGATCAAAGACCTAAAAGACTGTGGGTGAGTTTTTTTTGGATGAATTGAAATAGCTCCCAGTTCTTTGAATATTAAGGCTATAAAAAGCTTATCTATCCCTCTCATAAGCGAACAGGAAAGATTCAGCGAGTGCAAAGTCTAGTGGGGATAAGTAAAATACAGTTTTTGTGGAATAAAGTCAGGACAATTTAATTTTGCTGAGTCATAATTTTCGGTGATGAAGTTGGAAAACTGCTGAATGTGCAGAGGTTTTGCCATACAAACGTATGTGTGTGTGTGTGAGACAAGTAGGGCCATAGGGAGGATTTAAGGTCCCTAACTGTACCGCCTCAAAAAATACCAATACATATTTAATAAATTTAGCTCCAGTTGGTTTTTTTCAATTTCAATTTCTTCATACATTTATTTTATTGTTGTAGGGGGTAGTTTGAAAATACCAGAATCATTCAAACTCCCCCCTGGCTGTGAAAACTCCCACATTCCAAGAAGGAATACCTAGGATATGACATTAGTGTGTTCTGACATTTCTCAAAGCAGAAAGTGGAGGGCACAATACCAGGAGTCTGAAGCTCTTGAGATAATGTATATTATGATTTGGCGCTATATACAAATAAAATAAAATTGAATTGAACTGACATGAAGCAGGCAATTTGAATCCAGCCATAATTCATTTAATTTCTATTTTTATTTACACCTGTGTTTTTCTTGCTGTGAAAAATGCATGTGGTTCATGCAAAGCAACTCTGTGATTTAGTTCACCATAGGAAGCAAATGTTTAATCCGTCTCCCTGCTCATACAGATTGGTAGTGAAAGGCAGGCTAAGGTTTGCCACTAACACATTTGCATTTGTGTGACCAGGCCCTAAGAATAAAATCTAGCCATGTTGTATGTGACAGTCCGTGTCTTTGATTGACGTTTGTTAGATTGAGAAAAGGTTTGTCTCAGCTGTCCTCTGTTCTCCCTCAGTCAAAAGGTTAGATCAGCTAAGCACCTCTCGCTTTAAAATCCTTTACTGGAAAATTGCGATAGAAAAAAAATCACCAGTCTACCTGTGATAAGCACTTGATGTATCGCGATGCTGCAACTCTTATTTCATGATGCTCAAACAGGTCTTTGCAGGGAATTCTCGCCAGCAGTTTGATCTTCTCCATCTCTGACAGCTCCGTTATGAAACTATAATTCCCAAACCTGTCAATATCCAGGTTGATGCTGAAAGCACAAAGGAAACTCTTCCCATCCATGAGCGTGACAGACACCCACACTGCAGGTGCTATCAGGGACCTCTGTGTGATAGAACAAAACATGTAGCGGAGGATTGAAGGATCCTTTCTCCGTTTTCCTGCCGGTCTTTTCCATTCCTCAGCGAGCACGGACACGTTATTGTTCAAAACAAAACCCAACAAGAAGAACCATAAAGGTGGAACGATAAGCAGTCCGATCCCGTAGTTGTAGTTGTATTCTGGCATACAGGGGCAGCTGAATTCAAAGGCAGAGTACATCTGTGCACTAGCCAGTGCCATGATACCACAGATCCCACTCATAAAGGATTCCTGGTTGGACTGGAGGAACTGGAACATCATACGAAACTTATCCATCTTGGGAGATGTGGTGGATATTTGCTTCTGATGGAATTAAAACTGTGGACAGAAGGGCAGTAGAAACTTTTACAAACCTTTAATGCTTTCCAATGATGTTGGAGGGTACTTAACACAAAATTAAACAAATTAAACAAAATAAAAGCAGTAACTGAAGCCTACATTAATCAGACACAGAAAACAAAAACCCTCTGCAGAGAGCTTTCAAAAAGCATCTTCGGACCATTTTTCCAGTACTACGTGATAATTTCTCAATGAGTCATTATTGGTTTTTTTTTCATTTTTAATAAGGCTTCAACACAAGTTATAATGCCATCTGTTAAAGGGTAGGGTATAAATGTTCATATGTAATTTATATAGGGTGGTTATAATCATTTGGTACTCCAATTATAAATGATAATAAGTTGAGTTAATAGGTTAATAGAATAATGTAGTTTGAAATATTCTGTTGGTTCTCAGCAACAACACCTCACTGTTCAATAAATAATTTGGAAACTATTAATTAACCAATGAAAAGGTTTTATTTCTCCTGTATGGACTCTCTGTAAAGTCACCTGATGGGAAAGTGGTACCAGAGTCTCACATGCTTCAATAGTGTGTTGTAGCTACAGATAATTTTAAAAAGTCAAGAATCTACAGGTAATCATCAGACCGAAAAGTAACCTCACTCACACTTACCTATTTTCTTTAGGGTGGGTGAACAAAAGGCTCGGAAATGTTCACATGATGGGAATATCCACAATAAAAAGATTGCAGTTCTTATCAGGCATTATAGCTGTGACTGAGAGGAGTCTCATGAACTCTGTGGTGATGTTCACAGCCACCTCATCACCTGCCCCTCCCTTCACACGCACCTGTGTTTTGTGTGATGTAACAAAAGATTCAACCTGCACTTTCTCAAACGTAAACACGTCTACAGAGCTCAGACAATCACTTACATAGTTCCCAGTTCTTTCACAATTCACATGAATTATCTTTCTGGCTTCCTCTGATGCATGCAGAGATAGGTAGTAGTGTTAACATGCACTGTAAGTTGCATAAGTTGCATGAACACCGAGGATGCAGTGCTGCTCAGCTGTCGCCATAACGATCCAAACATGCAAAACCATTCAAATATCTGCGGCTTTGGCTGGAAAATGTGGTTGTTGTTTGAGAGGTGAAAGTTGAATCTGTTTCCACTCGATTCATCAGAACCAAATAAATCATGTCACAGTGGCTATCACATGTAAAATAGTCTTTATTACATCTCTGGGATTCTTTTTGTTTACTTCACACAGCAAGTCTAATTCAACTCCACAAACCAGATACAAAACCACAAGAGAATAAAGGATAGGGTTTTATTCTCCCATTCATAGGCAGAGAGCATTTTCTACACTTTATTTGAAAAGTATGCAGTCTAATGCTTGGCCCCTCACATAGTGTCAGTTGCAAACAGGAAGTTCGTGTTATCTGTTTTCATCACTGTATTACACAGGAAAATGTCACAGCAGAGCACATGGGCAGGGTGTGCAGGAAATAAGTCATGAAACAACCTACTGCTGAACAGGAAGAGATCACCGAGCCTGTGGCTTTGCAAGGTTACTCTCTTCCTCCTTTGTACCTCTTCACACATTACTGGAACTTTGCAGCATTAAGGTAATCAACCATTTCTTCTGGTGTGTAGTCTTCTTCTTGTTTAATTAAATATGCTCCGAAGACTGATGTAACATGAAATGAGACCACAAAAAAAAGTGAAGTAGATGCTTCCATGCTATCAAGGAAGTAGCTCATCTAGATTTGCATCATCATTAGTATTTTTTAAGTAAATTGTAATATAATTTAAAGTTTTTGTAGTCATTGTTTTTTTATGCATTTCATGAATCGGTGAAGCAGTTTCAAGATCTCTGGAAAGCTTTGTAACAATTCTTTATTCTGTGTGACTTCGACAGTATTGATGATGCAAGACGCTCTGCTGCGAGTGGTTGTCGTGGCTCTTGGTCTCATTCTGTGTCCGAGGGATGACCCTGGATTGCAGGAGGAATGGGATGATATCGTCACAGTGGGTCTGCAAAAGCACAAACAGAAGCTGTCATGGGGAGCAGAGAACCTGGGGGAGGAAATGGCACCTGTCAGAGAGAAAATTGCACAAACTGATGACAAAGGGCCTCTGAATAAGATGGAAAGTGTTGCAAACGAACAAAATCCATCTCACCTTCATGTTTCTGACAAACATACAATGTCAGCTGAAGAAGATGTGACTGTCTCCAAACCGGAAGAGGAACATTTGACATCAAAGTCTGATTTAAGTCAGCCACAAAAATCCAGAAGTGAACCGGAGATTTCTCTGATGACTTCACAAACTGAACACGAGCAACAGGAAAACCTGCTGTTGGACATTAGGACTAAACAGGGAGAAGACATTAAGACTGGTGCCTCTTTTAGAGACCCAGTCCCACCACAAGGTCAACAAGACAAGCCTGACAAGACAGAAGTGTCTCTGTCAGAGGTCCACACCCAGATGTCTGAAAACGAAACCTCAGAGAAGGCGATGCCTGACTGGCAGGAGGATTACCTCTGGTACATATGGAATACATTCTCCATTATTTCCATCATTCGCTTCTTCAGGAAATACCTGAGAAAAAACTCAATGACACAAAATGAATCCAGTACTTTCTCTGCGCCGTGCATCACTGGTGAAGTGCCACTGCCCGACAGCAACACGCTGCAGTATTTTCACTCTGAATATGTTCAAGCCTCATCCAAGAACAAGTGGAGGGAGGGAGAGTTTTTAGAGGGGTTTGCAAATATCATGGTGGAGGCCATGAGGGTGGTCTGTGAGAGGGATGGAGGCTTGGTGATTGAGGACTGTCAGTTGTTGGATTCACGGGATATAATTGTTCCCTTAGCTCCATCTGAGCCGTATGGTTTTCAGTGCCTGCTCCTGAATCACCAGGTGAGTGACCTGCTGCCAGAGATGCAAGTCTGTGGTCAAATAAAACTGGTAGAGAATAAGAAAATCCAAAATGACTGCCCCTGCCACTCCTCTGGTGCAGATGATATGGTTTGCCTGCTGCATTGTGAGAATGAGAAAGTAGAGAGAAAAACTACTGATGTTTGTGAGCACCCGCTTTGCTTGAAGAACACCCCTTTCCTGTCAAAATCTCTGGTTACCAGATGGTTCCAGAGCACAATCAAACAAGCATGGGCTCAGATTTCACACAAGTATGATTTTGAACTCAGCATTCGCTACATTGAAGCTCCAGGTGCTCTGGTTGTTAGATTCAGATCAGGGAAAAAGCTCTGCTTCAGTATGAATCCTGTTGTTAAATTCAACACTGATGCTCATTTTTACATTACACATTACTCCCCAAGCAATTTGGACACAGTGTGGACACTCTCCCTGACACTCTATGAAGACCATCTCTTACAATGCCTCTCCAAACAGCTGCCTGAAAACTCATGCCACATTCAAACTCTGGAAATTGCACATTTCCTTCACAAGAGACAGACTGCCTTGTCAGGAGGTTGTGCACTCAAGGATTTTCATTTCAAAACTGTGCTTTTTCATATGCTTCTGACCAAAGACCCATCACAGTGGAAACCAAGCCATGTGGCTTCCAGGCTACAAGACCTGTTGCACTACATGGAGGAAAGCCTGGAGAAAAAGCTTCTGCACCATGTCATCATTGGAAACCCAGCAACTCAGAAGATTATGCAGCTTCCTGCAGAGTTCACCCAAGTAAAGCCAGTAAATCTCTTCTATCCCCTTGTGGTACAAAACTGCATCTACAGAAATACTGTGATGCATTTTCAGGAAATGCTTAGAAACACACACATGCTGATCAATGATTATGTTGGTGTGTTTACAGGACAGTCTGAGAGAAACCCAGTTCTAAAGACTTAAGTGTACAGTTGAAATTAGGGTTTGTCTCTTCACCCCCAGAAAAATGAATATGCACATCAAGCCAGAGAAATGTCAAATACATTAGAAATCCATTTATTTTTTTAAAAGTTAACATTTCCACACTAATTTTCATAATCATCCTCCCAGTAGTTGAGGAAGTCTGCATGCTCTGCCATGTCTGCCAAACCGAGTGAGTCAGCATCAGTCGATCTCATCCGAGGTTCAATGTCCACATGGTCATCCTCGTCACTCAAGTCGACCTTCCAAGAGGCGCTGGAGATGGTCTTCTTGGAAGCTGTTGAAATAGATCAAAAATTGTTTTAATCAAATATCTCAAATTTGTGGAAGATCAGCTTCTTAGTCATTTGGGATAAGTATGTGTAAATGGTTTTAAAGTAACTTCCTATGATGTATAACACAGAGGTGGAAACTTACCCCTGGGCTGTGCTGTGGGGCAAGTAGACTCACAGCAGGTGCACACAGAGTCATCACCATAAAGCTCCTTCCACCTAAACAATTAAGAGTTATTTTAAGTCTTCAAACATCACCTGAAAAGTTTGAAAATACACAGAACTGAACCCAACCACAGATGGCAACACTCAAAATACAATCAAGTTGTCAAGGCAGTCAAGCTCACATAAAATGGTCTTTACTACTGCCACCTGTGGGTGCCCAACAACTTACTTCTTGGTTGCTGGATCATAATTGCAAGCCTTAGAACTTGGAGATGGAGTAGATTTCCCCATAGAGACCTCACAGTGCATGTAGAGTTGCTGAAAGACATTGGATTTGAGTTTTAAAAGACTTGGACACTATGACAGTGCAGAGCTAGCACCTTTAATGACATACCTGTGACGTGGAGGTAGTGGACACCTGGTCCTTGAATACGAAGGCTCCCACTTGGAATTTCTGGGACACCTTTGAGGAGCCGCTGAGGAACTTCGACTGCAATGCCAGCTTGCTGTCAACCATACAGCTGCAAGTGTGAGAGAACATGTATATTATTCTTGAACAAGGTAAAAGTATTTTATATTATTTTTCCTGCAACCATTTTAAGTCTAACCCTTGGTTGTCGATGACTGTATATTTGGGGTTAGAGTCAGGGTATTGGTTGGCAGTCATGAAGCACTTGTTGATGTACATCCTTGGATCTCCAGAAGTTGCAGTGGCATCAGCCTTCTTTGCTTCAAAGAACATTGGCTGACCCAAGGTGTAGGTTTTGCTGCCAGTGAGTTCATTTCCTGAAGCTGAAACAAAGAAGTCACTTGAGGAAGCATATTTACAATTTAATGAGTGAAAATACTTGATAAATGCCTAGTAGTGTTGAATGCTAGTGCTTAGGACAGCTTCAAATGCTTAACAGATCCCTCTGTAACAGCTTGAAAGACCAAATAAATGCATGAACCAACAAGTTTTCTCCAGCTATCAATCATGTTTTTATTAATTTCTGCATCAGTCACTGTATTCAGCTCAAAGGAAGCTGAAGAGGTCCCATTAAAAGTTCCCACCTCATACAGAGGTTATTGGTGTGAGAAACCAAATTAGACAAGGTGTAACTACACCCCAAATCTCCTGCCTTTTGTCCACATTCGGATTTTTACCCTGTGTGTCCAGAAAGCTTCCACATGTAGTCTGGGCTGGAGAAACTAGTTACATCTACCTGGTAATGCAAACACATTTAGGAATCAATTCAAAAAACAACCCCAAAACATACCATCTTGCGCAGCAAGTACAACACTTTGTTTTGGTGTAAGTGCTTTGAAAACTGTGCCACCTTGAAGTTGAGGATGGATGCCGACTTTGTAAGCATGAAAAAGCCTGCAACAGTCAAATGAAAATTTGTGTAAAGTTAGAAAAGCACAGCAATCTGAGTCTTGCTAAAGTCTAAATTTAACATGAAATGCATGTAGGTGATCAAAAAACAGTATAAAGTCAAAGTCATACCTTGGATATTTACACTGCAGAGGGATATTATATGGAATTTCCCTTAAAACCTGACCAGATGGCTTGTAGCTGAGCACATTGCTGAAGGACAGATAATCTGTCTTACTCTGAAACACATTTGAGTTTGTCACAATGAAGCAGAAATATATATTAAAAGTGAACACAAAGAGAAAACACCTTCACCAACCTCTTTTTTGTATCCACAGTCAGTTTTCAGAGGGTACAGGAAATAGTAGTGGTCTTTGGTGCCTTGATTAACAGGACAGGAACCTAACCTCAAATCTTTGTAAGCATCCCTGCTCCTAAAATTCTCACGTAGAACTCTCACATAAATTCTGTCAACATGACAAAGGAGTTCAACCAAATTTTTTCTGGCTGTTGTTCCGGTTGATGTTGTTCCAGTTGATCCTCCAGTTGCTGTATCAGTAGAGGGAACCAGTAAGATTTCCTTGGCCCACTCAGGGAGGGGTCTGACACCCTTTTCTGGCTTGAACGCCTCTTTCGAGTACTTGGACATGGAGATGCGCTTGTACTCAGGAAAGGTGTTAATGTTGGGTATTGAGGATCCACTGCCTGTAGAACTCCTCCAGTAACCGGGTACAGGAGCCACACCCATGTCTTCATCCATCATTGTCGCCATTCTGTCCCACTCGGCTTCAGGGTCTTGCACGAAAGGACCACGACCAGTTCTAAACTGGTAACTATAGGCAGAACAAAAGAGCAGCAACAGAAGCCCAGCGTGCTTCATCTCCATCTTCTCTCCTGCAGCTGCTTCCCCACTGAGACTGAACCTCCGCCTGAACAGGTTGAGCATGGTGGTGGAGTTTCAAGTGGCTTTTGTGTGCTGCAATCAAGAGAGGACCCACAGCTGCTGCCAATGCCAGTCAGGAACAACCAATGAGAGGAGACCAATGATTAGCTACCTTAACAAGCCACACATTTCTCTTAATCTGTCATTCACCTCTGTGGCCTTGTAAAGCACACTCAGCTATCAGTTTATTAGGCACATAACTGATAACGCAGCATCCCTGCAATAAATCCTTCGCTCATGATAGCAATAATTTTCTGTATTTATTGAAAGTGTTACAAAGAGTTGTCAATTTTGGAGGCTGCAATTGAACTGCACTGCGTCAGTAGAAGAGGTGTGTGTGTATTGTTTAGCGTACCCTCATCCTTGATTTGGATGGAGTGTACAAAACAATCGGAAGCCCTGTCAACATAAAACTGTGAAGCTCAACAACAGCACAGACTGTTATAACCCAACCAACACAAAGGCAGGGGTGATCGCAGAACTGTTGTGTTAGGCTGCATTAGTTTTAGAGAGCTGTTCCTAATCAACTTGTATCTGAGAGTAAATCATAATGTGACATTCCAATTCAATATTGTTTAAATAAAATCAATCATTTTAATGTACTCAATAGGTAGAGTTTACTATTAAATATTTTCTTTTCCTCCCTTGCTTTAACAGACAGACCCAATACATCAACTTGTCCTATGCATCTATATTATTTAATTGATAGTTTATGTAAATTGTAGCTGTATTTTAGATATTATTATTATTAATCTGAAAAAATGGGAATCAGAGGGAAAATGTTTAACTGGTTTATGGACCTCTTAAATGGAAGAACTATTCAAGTGATGGTTGGAGAAGAGCCATCAAATCAGTGCAGGGTTGAAAATGGGACGCCTCAGGGGAGAGTAGTTAGTCCAACCCTATTTTCAATAATGATTTATGATATATTTGAGAATTTCCCAGCTGATATGAGGAGGTCATTGTTAGCTGATGATGGAGCTCTGTGGAAATGGGGAAGAAATGTTGAGTATATAGCTAAGAAAATGCAAGCGGCAATCAGTCAAGTAAAAAATTGTGGACTAAAATGGGGGTTTAAATTCTCAGTGGAAATATCCAAAGTAATTTTTCTTTGCGAGGAAATAACTGAAAGAATGTAACTTGAAAATGTATGGAAGTGTATTTCAAAGAGTTGAGAGTTTTCATTTCTTGGGGGTACATTTTGATCAGAGGTTAACTTGGAGAGAACATATCAGACAGGTGGTCAATGAGTGTAAAAAAGTAATAAACGTTATGAGATGCCTTGCTGGGAATAGGACGGGCTGAGGTCAGAGATATTAGCATTTTAGAATGTACAGATTGTGAAAAATGGAGGAGGCATTTTTAATTTCTTCATTATGACTGGACTAGTCAAGAGGATATAAAATAACGGCATAATGGAACCTGAAGGTGGCAGTAATGCAACATTCTGGATGCCAGCTGCCGTAAAACAACAAAAGAAGAAGAAGAATTAATCGTTTTTCTCTTACCCGGATATTACGCAGCTAGTGACGTCAGTATCAGGAAGTAGCAGCACAGACCTCTTGGCTCGTTCGTGCTCGGAAGCTGGATCTCCCTCACTGGCGTTTTTCTTTGTAGTCAACGATAAACACTTCCTGATTTGTGGACTGTCTGTTTTCTGTCCGAGCAAACAGCCTGGGTTTTACTTGGTATTCTCTGTTCGGGCTAGATGCGCTAACATCGTTTGTGTTAGCTCGCTGGCTAACGAGCCAGCTAACAGCTAGGGTTGTTTTGATTATTGATGTGAACATTAAGATTTCGTCGACGCTGTCTGTGCTCAGATGGTCAGAGCCAACTCACACACTGAACACCGTTTTCCACAGACACCAGTGGAATGAGAATATTGTTCGACTCTTAGGATCCACGAGGTAAAAGACGCAGTTCATGTAAATCTTCTGTGTCGCACCAGCTAGCTGAGAAGCTAACGTTAACGTCAAACGACAGTCGCCAGCTTTCTCTATCTCAGCTGGGGACCCTCTGCATCGTCGTGTACCCCGGACAGTGGTAGTCTAGTGAGCTTCAGGGGCTCTCTGTGAATCGGATCCAATGCGTGGCATGATGGGGACCCAGAGCAGTCCTGTCAAGAGTTACGATTATCTCCTGAAATTTCTTCTGGTGGGAGACAGTGATGTCGGAAAGGGAGAAATCTTGGAAAGTCTGCAAGACGGATCAGTAGAGTCTCCTTATGCCTACAGTAGTGGTGAGTTCATGTGTCTGCTTTAACTCAGTTGTTTGGAAACAAAAGAACGAGCACGTGCAACATTACTGATCACTGTGTGTCATCGCAGGGATCGATTACAAGACCACCACAATCCTGCTGGATGGAAGGAGAGTGAAACTAGAGTTATGGTCAGTGTTATGTATATCAAGTCAGTAGTGGCTGGAGTGAAATAAACCTCATGACATGACGATGATCTACATATTTGCTTTGTGTGTGTGTTGAACAGGGACACCTCAGGGCAGGGTAGATTCTGCACCATCTTCAGGTCGTACTCTCGTGGAGCACAGGTGAGGACCTGTCAATCAATCCTGTTTTTTCCCCTGCATTGTGTAAATGTGTAAACATGTGTCAACATATTTGTTTGTTCATTCCACAGGGCATCCTGCTCGTGTATGACATCACCAACAACTGGTCGTTTGATGGCATTGACCGTTGGATTCGGGAAATTGATGAGGTAATCCGACCTATTGTAGACAAAGAAACATAGGAAACACATGTAGATGGGGACATATCCTGTGTCTGTGTGTTATTCCAATCCTGAGCTCCACCATCTCTCTCCACATTGCATATCTACGAGCCCTTTGTGTGTGTGTGTGTGTGTGTGTGGTGTTGTGTTCAGGGGTTAAAATGCATGTAAAAAATTAGTAAAAAGAATTTCCCCTTGAGGGATTAATAAAGCATCTCTTCTCTCTTCTTCTGAGAAAGGGCATTGTTTGTTTCTTGCACAGTCTGTGCACCTAACAGTTTGACATTCAGTCGAGCTTAGTATTTTAAAGGAATAGATAAAAATCTCATAACCATTTATTAAAACAGTATTGTTTATTTCCATCAGCATGCACCAGGTGTTCCCAGGATTCTGGTGGGAAACCGACTTCACTTGGCTTTCAAGCGACAGGTGCCAACAGAGCAGGCAAGAGCGTACGCAGAGAAGAACAGCATGACTTTCTTCGAGGTCAGTCCGCTCTGCAACTTCAACGTCATCGAATCCTTCACAGAACTTTCACGCATCGTGCTGATGAGGCACGGGATGGAGAAGTTTTGGAGACCCAACAGAGGTGAGCTGGTTAATCCTTTTTACTTACCAGTTGTGGAAGGTTTGGAAAAGTGAAAAAAGAGAGTATTACCTGTCACAAATGGCAAAAAAAATTGAGTTTGTTTTACTTGTCCCACACACTGAGTACATTCTCCCTAAAAGCACTTAAATTTTAAAGAACGCTGTCTTCATCAGGCAATGTGACAAAGAAGGTCCACACATATAACCCACCTAACTCATCCAAGGTGTGGATCTTTTTGAGACATTGAGATATTCACCACTTTAATTTCCTCTGCTGATCCAGAGTTTTGGATATGACCCGAATATGAGTCCTGAGAAAACTTTCTGGATTAAATGATAAAAACTCAAAATCATTGTGGATTCCTAGAAACTATGTGACTATAGATAAACTACAGTCACGGTCAACAGTCTCTATTACCACTGTTTATTTAGTGAAAGCCATTTAGTGGCACTGAATACCTGGACATTTTTTCTGGACGGAGACAATACTGAAAAGCTTATATTCATGGCCAACATTTGCTGTCTTCCAGGTGTGTACACGAGTAAATCAAAAGCAGTACTTTGCACTGTGGTCACTAATACTAGTCAGTCTACTATAGTCATATTCCAAATTTATTCCTCATTAGTTTTAATATTTGAATGATATTCCATTTTTTAATTGACATTTTAAATCAAATTTAGCCTATTATTACTGTTCACCATTTATACAGTTGTGCTCCCCACATGCCTAGAACAAGATACCACTTCTTTCTGAAGCACATTGTCTCTCACTCTCTCTCTCTCTCACTCTTTCTTTCTTTCTCTGTCTTTTTTTGGAACGAGGGAAAACAAAACAGCATTGTAAAGTAAACAAGCACAGGGCTGTCAAAGCACTGCAGTAGGGACGCTCCCTGTGCTCCCACAGCAGATCAGTGACGGAGCTTGAGCCACAGAGCCAACACATTTATCAAATAAATTAAAATACACATTTGAATAGTATTGAGTTTTTTATTTTGATATTCAATCTATATTGGACTTCAGAAATGTGTTCCAACACCCCTACTTTGCACACAGTGGAGTTTTTACATATTTGTCAAAACTTAGTTATTTTAAGAGCTGTGAATCTAACTCTAAATGAGCATGCTTTACAAAATAAAGTTTAAATATTGACAACTTCAAGCAACCTCAACAAAAGCATATTTTTTAGAAAAATAACATCGATATTTTAAAAAAAAATTTATACTGTCCTGCAGTCTTCAGCCTCCAGGATCTGTGCTGCCGCTCGATCGTCTCCTGCACACCGGTGCACCTCATCGACAAGCTCCCCCTCCCTGTGGCCATCAAGTCCCACCTCAAGTCTTTCTCCATGGCCAACGGCATGAACGCGGTCATGATGCATGGACGCTCCTACTCAGTGGCCAACAGTGCAGCCTCAGGTAGCAGTGGCAGTGGCAGCAAAGCCAACAGTCTCAAACGCTCAAAGTCTTTCAGGCCTCCACAGAGTCCTCCAAAGAACTCGTCATCCTCCTCGAAGGGGAACTGTAAGATTTCATAGTGAAGAATCAGACCCACGGTTGCCTCCACAGGACCAGTGTTAAAGGTGTTGTTGCTCCGAGAGGTCACAAGGCCAGAGACGAGCACGGAGAGCTGCGAGCTGTCTTCACCAGAGACGGATGCCAGCTTTGAACTTACATTGACCTTTGGGAACTGACTTGGATAACTGGGTTGTTTTCTGTTCTCTACGCACTTGCCGGAGCCATCTTGTGGTTGTCCATTTACTTGTACTCTTTACTGCAGAGGCTCACTGTGATCAAGCAGAACAAGATTTCCCTGGGACCAACAAATGTGAATTCAAGGATAATCACTCAACTGTCAACACTACAAATGAGTGGAGAGACTTTAGCTAGCTCTTTATGTGGAACAGGATTGATCGTGGTATTTAAAGTTGACTTGAAGTTGTAAATATTCTCAATGTGCTTTTGCTCTGTGTTTGGTGGTTGTTCTTGAGGAAGAGCTTCTCGCGCTTGTTTTGTCTAGAATGTTTTTCGAGCCTCGATGCTTTATGTACAACTTATTTGTGTCTTATCCCCTTAACCTGCCATAGGAAACTCATTTTACAACCTAAAGGAAGTTTTTACATAAAACTGGCTTAAAGTGAATGTCATGAGCATGCAGGGCTAGTTTGCAAGTACAAGACCTAAGAGAAATTTATGAAAACATTCTTAGTCCAGTATGTGAATCTGTCCAGAAAAGCAGAGTCAAGTTGTCTTTTTTGCAAAAGCTCTTGTGGTGCCCGCTCAATTTCAGCCTAAATGAATTCCCTCTCCATCTCCATCAGTCATTGGTTTCGAACATCTGTTAACTCTCTCAGGCAATTTCTGCCCCTAAATCTAATATTCCTAGTTTTATCATTTGCCGTAAAGTATTTAACCCATTCACATTGTAATGAGTCTGAACCTGTCAACTCCTGTGGCAATGAAAAGATGGTTAATGAGGAAACCTTGTACAAAGTCAGATGTACAGCCTGTTTGCTCAGTGATTTTGCCTTAGTCTCCTTCAACAGTGTCTCGCCTCTGAACAAAAGAGTATAAACTCGTTGGTGTGAGGAACATTTTAATTTGATTTCTTTCTGAATATTTTATGCATATGCTACGTATTTATGAATGTAACACAATATACATCTACTTTTCTGTGGCCATGTGGTTGAGCTGTAAGAATCAGAGATGGAAAGTCACAAGGTTCATCTGATCCTTTTATATTTTTAATTGAACCCTTTTACTGCTTAAACTGTATTTCCCCAAACTTCTTAAAAAAAAAAGAAAATCATGTAATCAAGAATTATAAACATAAAGATGTCAGAGGGGCCTCAAATACTTGGTTTTTAATCACAGCTAAAGATATTTTTTCAGTTTTAATAATTGAAGTATCTACACAAATATATTTTTATTCAAATATACATTTGCAGTCTTCTTTCCACCTCTGATTAACGTGCTGTATTTTCACTTCAACATTCCCAGTGTCATGGCTGTATGAATGTAATAAGGTCAACGGGTGCATAGAACATGGGTGCATGTTTTCCTGCTGGCGCCTGTTTTTATGTGGTGTATATGGTGTCAGAGCAGTCTGGGGGGGTTGAACATTTAAAGCACTATATGATGTATCATGTGATGAGGATTGTTGCTGCCAGAGCTGTGTCTAAAAGTTTGGATGAGGGGTTGATTACAACTTTGAAACCAGTCACCCATTAAAAATAAAAGGTAAAAACTACATGATCTGCTTTGTGATGCTGTATTGAATTGATTTTTCATTTGAATATACATAAAGTGCATCGTGCGATTTCAGTTGTGGGAATATTTTTCTTCTTCCCTTTTGTCCAGTTCGGGGTCGCGGGTGCCATAAACCCCGGGGATGATGTGGGGGTGCTGCTGTTGAATTGATTATAGCTGCTCTCTCGGTATTGGCCAGTACTGGGGGGGGACAACCGGCACATCGCCGCAGCGCATGAATGCAGCGCGGTCAAAAGTCACGCAGAGGTTGCGGGGGGTCACATCCAATGAAAAGACGCGGGGAGGGGGAGATCTGCTCGGAGGCGCGACGGGACAAAGATGAGTCGCACGCTATTGAAAATGCGTCGCTTTACGTCTTCCCACCTGACCGCGGCATGTCTGAGCTCCGTGTGAACGCGGGACGGCGGTAAACTGAGCCACGTCTAGACGAGCAGGACGTAAACAACTTGTTTTGCAAGACGCGCTGCGACACGCCTCGTGTTTGGTTTTCACGCCCTCCTCCGCGCGCTGTAAAAAAAGAGAAAAGATAGCTTTCCTCCACAATTTAATGTTGCGCGCAAGGAATCCAGGACTTGCGCTGCGTAAAACATCCAGGACGCATCCGAAGTTATGACCGAGGATGGAGACATAAGCAGCAGCGACAGCAGCTCTCAGGGAGAGAACAGCACATTACCTTATTTATGAATGGCACCTCCATAAATTCTGTCTGGACGCGTTTAACGTTGGATTTCTCACCGGAATGTTTTGGCTCCGTGCGCACGGTTGTTGGGACAGCTTGCCACCGCGGCCCCACGCCTCCTTTGATGTTTTTACAATGTTTGTCCAGTTGCTTAGCGCACGGTGCTGCTTCATAAAAGTTTCAGACACCGGACGACCGTGGGGGCGGTCAGAGGGGGCTGCCCTTTCCACCTCCATTCACACCCTGAAAGGCTGATGTTGCGTCTTTCTCTCACATTGTGCTGCTCCGCTCGCGTCTTCTTGCTGGATTTTGGGGGGATTCGTCCTGAATGAGATTCTGTGTATTGTTGCGAGAGTTTTGTTTTGAATGTGAAGGCGGATATTTCACGCAGCCCAGATACCTTTTTATACTTAACCCAGGATTTATACTTTGTTCTTTAAATGTCCAGCGCATGGGAACTCGTTCTGATCGTAAGGAATGGATCAACCCTCCTGTCTTGCTTAATTTTTACGCACAAAACGGATGGCCACATTTGAAAACCGTCAATAGTCCTCTTCCTTTTTTGAAGACCTAAAGGAGGTATGGAATTACTGGGTGCGAGACTCATGCAAAAGGGCAAAGATGTATAAAATTCCTCTGCAGCTTCTGGAGGATAGACGTCCAAAGGAAACGCATTGTCATAATGCACACAACTCAAACAGCCGAGGATTAGGATGGATTTGTGCGTATTTGTTGATGCTCCTGCTTTGCGAACTACCCGACCTCTCTTTGTGCGCAAGTGTGGCAGAAGCCAAAGTTGAACATGAGGGACTTTGTCCCAACAAGCTGAACTCTAATCTCTGGGTTGATGCGCAAAGCACCTGCGAGAGGGAATGCAATGTGGATGAGGTGACAGTGTTTTAAGAATAATAGTTTGATTCCGACGATTTTGTGTATTTGTATATTATAATGAACTCAGAAGTTGTGTTTTTCCCATTGTGTGTGCAGGACTGTGCTGACTTTGAGAAATGCTGCACCAATGTATGTGGCCTCTACAGCTGTGTGTCTGCCCGTTTCTCTGATGGCACCTCTGCTCAGCCAGATGGACAGGGTGGAGGAGAAGGAGGTGATAACCAAAACTCTACTGCAACCTGTGAGGGCTTTATCTGCAGCCAGCAAGGAGCAACTTGTGACATTTGGGATGGGCAGCCCATCTGCAAGTGCCAGGACCGATGTGAGAAAGAGCCCAATTTCACCTGTGCGTCAGATGGACTCACCTACTTCAACCGCTGCTACATGGATGCAGAGGCCTGTGTCCGCGGGGTGACTCTGACTGTGGTCGCCTGCCGTTTCTACCTAGCCGGGCCCCACAGCAGTCCTCTGCCTCAGGACACCACTGTTAATCCCACCCCTACATCCTCCCAGGAGGACCCTCTGCCCCCCACTCTGTACTCCAACCCTCACCATCAATCCATTTATGTCGGAGGCACAGTCAGCTTCCACTGCGACGTCACCGGAGTCCCCAAACCTGATGTAACATGGGAGAAACAGAGTGATCGACGAGAACGGCTGGTCATGAGGCCTGACCAGATGTACGGCAACGTGGTTATCACCAACATCGGACAGCTAGTCATTTACAACGCCCAGGTGTGGGACACAGGTATCTACACCTGCATCGCACGGAATTCGGCAGGAGTTCTTCGTGCAAACTTCCCTCTCTCTGTCATTCGCCAGGGTGATGATGATTTCTTTGAGGATCCTGAGATGCCCATGGGGAGACCATTCTCACCAGCAGACTGTCTGGCTGAAGTAGATCTGAGGGTGTGCAGTGGTGAGCGGCACGTGGACTGGTATTATGATAGCAAGCTGGGCTCCTGTATGGCCTTCAGCAACGGTGGGTGTGACGACAGCCGCAACCGCTTTGAGACCTACGAGGAGTGCAAGGCCTCCTGTCAGAGAGAGGGGATGGGCATCTGCTCCCTACCTGCCGTTCAGGGCCCCTGCAAATCTTGGGAGGCACGTTGGGCCTGGAATTCGGTCATGAAAGAGTGCCAAGCCTTCGCCTATGGCGGCTGCCATGGGAATGCCAACAACTTCCGCACCAAAAAGGAGTGTGAAGCGAACTGCCCACAACCAAAAAGGAAACCTTGTAAGACCTGTCGGGTGAAGGGGAAAATGGTGCCCAGCTTATGCCGCAGTGACTTTGCCATCGTAGGCCGGCTGACAGAGCTGGTGGAGGATCTGGACTCTGGGTTAGCCCGCTTCAGCTTGGATGAGGTCCTGAGAGACGAAAAGATGGGATTGACTTTCTTCAACACCAAACACCTTGAGGTGACGATCGCCAAGATAGACTGGAGCTGTCCCTGCCCAAACATCACTATGGAGGAAAACCCACTGCTGGTGATGGGGGTGGTGCAGGACGGCATCGCCATCATCCAATCAGACAGCTACGTCAGAGCCATAACTGAACGCAGACTCAAGAAGCTACGTGAGGTTTTGGGCAAAAAGACCTGCGGGTCATCGTAGAACTCCACAGACATGGCCTTGTTTATCCACAGAGTGTCTGTGGTTTACTTTTAGCACTCAAGATAAACATTTTCCCTTTAAATCAAAGGCAAAAATATGTTTATTACTGTATGTTAATGTAGGTTTGAGAGATCAACACAGGTTGTACAACATTCCAGATGTGTTTGAGATGTGTTGTGCGTCAATTTATATAAATGGTCCCTTTTAAAATGAGTTTTAATACAGATGTTTTGTTTTCATGTTTTTTCTGTTTGTGTTTTACAAAAATGACTTGCTTGCGATGCTAAAAATAGACTCCTACAACATATTACCTCTATATTTAGTTTTTCTATTATTGTATTTTGTTTATTTTGTAATGGACCTTTTTATTTAGTCATTTACATGTGTGTTTTTATATAGATTCTCTTGTGTTGATGTGTAACACAGTCAAGATCTGATTACATCTCTTTGCAAAGCACTTCTGCTAACGTAGTCAGTTATACCAACTGAACTAAGGTATTAAAAAATAATAGGTGGCTGTCTAAAGTTAAATGTAGTACACAACCAACATGTCTGTGAGCCTTAATAATTTTATTTCGAGTGTGCAATATAGTGTGCCATTGGTTAGAGGGTGACCGTGCAGATCAAATAATGTCAATGTGTATTAGAATATAGGGAAACATGATTCATTTACAGTTTCTGGAAACGTGGGAAATGTATCTGAGCTTCAAGTGTAAGTTAAGGCGCTTTGATCATTCCAGGAAATGAACGACGGGACACTTCACACCAAACTCTCCTTCCTGAACAGAAGACACTTGTTGTTTGCTGGCATGTCCACCTAGGAGAGAACAAACATACGTCACACATTAGTAAACTAATGATCCCATCTGCATTGTTTATTTTCTCTTTTTTGTGTCTTAAATACTCACTATTTTCTCCAGGAACAAACCACTTCTTTGTGCTAAAGAGCTCAGCAGGGAGATATCTCTAAGCCCCCACTTTGGATTCCTACAAAATAATAATAAAAAAAGTTGTAATCATCCCACACTCACGTTTGCATTAGTTGAGTTACGTAGAGCTCCTTTACCTCTGCCGTAGGCTGTAGTCAAAGTCCACGTTGCTTTGTGGGGTGATCTGACCATTCACTGCATAGGGCTGAAGATACAGCAACAACAAATATGTCATGTTACATACAGTATACTGTTACACTCTTATGTTTACTTTTGATAGCTGTAATGAGGTAAGTGCAAAATAAAATGTTTTCACTCACCCCATATGTAAATAGAATACCTTGTGGCTTCAAAAGTTCTCCGGCCCCTTTGAATAAACCCTGGAAGAAGATAGTATTGTCTTCAGTCCTCTAAAACATCACATACGGTGGGAGCTGAACTACTGGAGCTTTAGTTTTCTTGGTCTCCTTAATAGAGTGAAAGACCTGAGGCAGATGTTATGAATGGGCAATGCTTAACTATCTGAGGAGTCATGAGACAAAATGGTCGTCGTGTACACACAGACAAAATCTTAAAGCAACAATATGTCAATTTTCAATATATAAATTATTTTCTCTTACAACTGTATGGTTGATTTTACAAGTAATAAAATGGACTTTTGGTGCTGCAGCTTTTCTTGGTATGATATGACCAACAGGTGACTGATGTCAGCTAATATAAAGTAGATGGTGACATTTATGAATCAGTTTTTTCTGACTTAGTTTCTCTTCAAGTCATCATTATTCCCTCGCCAAGGAGACTATGTTTTCACCCCCGTCTGTTTGTTCATTGGTTGGTGTGTTTGTTTAAATGAAAGATTACTCAAACACCACAGCAGGGATTTCCACAAAACTTGGTGGAGGGAAAGATCCCAATACATTTGAATCTGAATCTTGCAGGAATTATTTTAAATTTTCTTGAACATTGAGAGACATTTTCACACTTTTCTAGGAGAATAATTCAGGGATCTTGATGTAAAAAAGTCTGCACTATTAAGGGTATGTATTTTTATGAGTGTGATTGAGTTTAAGGGGACTGTTGGGTATTGACAGGGTATACACTCTGAGTGCCATTCTAGTTTATAATTAGTTTGCTACACATTGGTTTCACACAAGTTTGTTAAACCATGTTTAAAATATGCATAATTATGTATTTACCTACAGTTTATCTCAGGGCCCTTACTGATATTGCTTTGTTGCCGAGCCCCAAGCAACTGTGCAATCAGCCAAGACCGGTCACTGCATGTATGTACATAAATACAACATCTTCATGAAAGTCCTACCTCTGTGCATGACATAGGGGAAATGTGGATCATGTTGATGTTGACCACCAGATCGAGGCTCTCAGGCTGGATCCCTCCCCAGGTCTGATGGGGCAGAGAAGCATCCAGGTGGATGGCAGGCTTCACATTGTTCAGCTGGTAGTGAGCTCTGTACGCTTCTATACTGAGAATGGAAACAAAGACATGATTGTTAATGCACTTACCAGCACAGTCCAGCTGCATGTGTCTATTATTAGTCATATTCAACATGCAGTTATCCTCCTGTGAGCTGTATCTACCTGAGTTCAATGGATAACATGACGTTTATTACGCAGGAATTTCACGACGTGATGATTGGGAACAGTAGAAACACACAGTTTCATACAGTGACACAGAAAACGTGTACCTGTCTATGGACTGGTGGTCGTACTCTGAGGGCTGCCACGTGATGTTCCGCAGGGCCTGAGCGAAGTGTGTGACATGCTGTCCGGTACCGGAGGACACCTCCAGGGCCTGCAGGGCTCTGCCGGTGCCCACGCTCTCCCGGAGCACCGCCAGGATGGGCTCCTTGTTCCTCTCCGCAGCGGCGGCGCTTAGCATCGTGCCTAGCCCGGAGGACAGCTGTCGAGTGAACCGGTACAGTTTGTGTGGAGCACCGGAGCACAGACTGGTCCCGATGAGTCCAGACTGACACAACACAAAACAATGCACTTTCGGATTGACTCACGTGACCCCACTCGCAGCCAATAGGGAGAGTGGGCTGGCGCAAGTGCACTTCCGGCATAAAATACAACAAATACAACTTTATTAACCCAGAAGGTAATTAAAATAATAATATATATAAAAAAAACACAGATATGCGCTGACAAATATCCAGTATAGTACAACACAAAAGAGGAGCTATATACACATATATTATAAACTAGAATTACTGCACTGCAATTGTATGACTCCTCCAACAATCTCCTTTTATACTTCCACTTTTAGAAGAGCTCAGTGTAACCTTTACCTTTGACAACTAAACATAATCACTTTATCTTTGAGTCAAAGTGACAACTGAGCTAAAGTTGAAGAAATTCTCTCCAGCAGACTCACATTCAAGAAGCCACCGTGACCTTTGACCAAGGAAATCGAGTCAGTTTATCAGTAAGTCCAAGTGATTTGTACCAGATGTAATGAAATTCCTTACATGTCACATTCACAGTGACATGAGGCCACTCTGATCTTGACCTTTGACCTCCAGGCACCAAAATCTAATCAGTTCATCTCTGATGATGTCCCTCAAGCTGGACTGACAGACAGATGGATGGACAGACGGCCAACCCGAAAACATTTTCTCACAGATGCATAAAAACTATGTGTTTAAATGATATTTATTTATATAATAATAATAATAATATTGATTATATATGTGTGTATTATAAATACATACAGAACATGTGGCAGATGAGTAAAAGATTGACCACGCAAATGTATATTTTACACAGAGGGTTTATTTAAGGGAAAATAGCATTAAGGAACACATCCTTTGTTTTGTTTTTGTTTAAATACAAGATTTACACATTTCCCCTCAGGCTTACAATTCAGATCTAAGGGACACAAAGCAACTGAAAATAAGTTAAAGGTTCTGATGGGCATAAATAAAGACAGCAGACTTAAACAAAATCTTTTGGCAAACACAACTACACAGGACACAGGATTGTCAGTAAAGAGTCTCACCAGAGTAATTATTCAAGGGCAAAACAGAATATCTCTTATTTTAGTTTATAATGGAGAAGATGTGCAAATAGAAACACAATACTGTGAACTGCTGAGAAGTATTTCACTCAGGTGTACTGTACAACTTATGTAAAGTAAAACATGGTGGTATTACTAAAGTAGTGTGATAGAAATCTGAAACAAAGACATCTAAACACTTTTTTATTCAACACAACAATTAAGATAACTAAACTCAGTCAGTTGAATACAATTCCTACAATGACTTATATTGTGTGCTTCGGTCGATGTGATGAAATGGGCCCTTGCAGCCACCTGCTCTACATCAATGACACAACATTCAATGGTGTGATAGCTTCCTTCATGCGATTGTGAGCGGTTTGTCCTCTTCCATCCCAGCAGCCTGTTCTGCATTGTGGCTCTGCTCTTTTTCAACACTGAGCTGTGTCTGTGGTTTGTTGTGAGATGACTCCTGGCTCTCGCCTGGACAGTTCCGCACCAGAGATGGACTCAGACAGAGGAAGGACTGGTTGTCATGCGCATCCAGACCGGTCGTAGTCGTGACCACAGAATCGCTGAAGATGGTGTTGGAGAAGACAGAGTTGAATGTGAACGAGGAGCCAAGAAGTGACTCCTGCACTGGGGATTTGGGGCAGTCAACGACAAGCGCTGGGTCTCTGGGAGGTTTAAGAGGAGGAACTGGCTCAGATTCACTGTTTTTAGAGTCAGAGTGTGGTTGTCTATTTTTACTTGATGTTTCCTCTTGATTATTGCTCTCATCTAAAGCCTGGGCTTGAAGCGCGTTAGTCTTGATTGTCACCCTGGAGTCGCTGTTGACGCTGGAGCGTCGGGATGAGCCCTCTGCCGTGGATATTACACTGCTGGCCCTAGGGAGACTTTTAGGCGACTTAGGCCCTTTCAGCCGCCCCTCTTTCCCCAGAGGTGTGGAGAAACAGTTGAGGCATCCAGACATCGAGGACGCCTTTCCCTGAACATACAACACTGTGATTGGTGAACAAGCTACGGCTCGGGTGGTGTCAACTTTGCTTGAGCTGGATTTAGAAATCATCCCACTGAGCCCTGTGTTCATTTTGACTGTGCCCACTGAATCTGATGAGCGACGAATCACTTTTCCTCTTGACCCCTTCCGGATGCTCTTTGTGCCCCTGGTGAGCCAGAAGTCCTGTGAGAGCCCAACATCTTTCTGTCTCGGTGTAGCCTGGAGATCTGAACTCTGACTGCTGGTAATGGGCATGGTAGAAGCTTTGCCTTTGTGTTGGGGGGTGGAGGTATCGCTGGGTGGCTGGTAGGAGGAGGATGAACGGCGTGATGGGGCCTGCTGGATAGGGCTGCTGCCGTTTGACCACGGCTCATTCTCAA